TCCTTAATTTATTCGTGCAATAAATTTTTCGTGAAAATGGATAGATAATCGAAAAGTTGAATATATCGAAATCCAAGGAATCGACATCCAGATTGCGGAAAAGTCCGTTAATTAATGCGAGTCAAACGCGCTTAGCGTTGAGGTGCTTTCAGTGTGCAAACTTTATTTCTCGCTGAAGGATATTTCCTTTCAGAGAATACCGCACGGAGAAAACGAGAAGAGTGGAAAAGCGAGCGACTTAGTTCCCGGTGAAGTTCCGCGTAACAATATGGCCGGTCTACCAAAGAAACGCCGACGCTTTACCTTCGCATCTTTCTGCAGTCGCCGCCTACTCTACTTTAATTAGCCTCGCCCGTCGGTAAACAATAAGCCGTTATTTCTGACAAATTAATTCGAAAAACAATTCTGTCTGTCGGGTCGCCAGCTATGCGACGGCGCAGTCGCCGGCTTTTATCCCACTGGGGGATGCGCGTCTCAAAATATAACGAGCATCCCTTTCATGTAATACTACACCGTGGACCACGCTACGCCGGAATTCCTGAGACCCGACCGCGTTAAGCTCCCTCAGGATCCTCTCCGACTGCAAGAAAATCAGTCCATCGTTGTCGAAGAGCAGAACATCGCATGGCATTCAACAATCTCATCATAAATTATTGAAGCAACTTTGTTAAATTTATACTCTGAAAGAAATCTTACTTAAGTAAAGTACCTTATTTTCAGAATTTCGACATAATTGATAGCTTTATGAACAAAAACGAATAATTCAAATTGGGCTCTCGAAATATTAAAACAAATAAAAACATAGAGTAAAAAACAATTAACAGCCTTAATAATAGCTTTATAGTTCTTCTCTAAAGATTTCTTGAATTTTTTTGTATCTTTTAAAGATATAAATTTTGATAATTAAGTATAAAAGGTGAGGATTTACGTATTCATGTTTTCTGTATGAACTGATCACAATATTCTTTACTTAAATCACTCTCGATGGAAATTCTACTTTTTTGATAGAATTCTTAATTATAGCTATTGAAAACTCTTAAGAATATATAATAAAACTACACACACACACATACACACACACACACACACATATATATATATATGTATATATTTAGTTTATGTATATATTATATTATTGTGTAATAAATATTATATTCCTAATGTATAAAAATAAAAAAGTATATTTCTTAAATTTATTATATATATATACACACACACACATATACATATACATATATATATATTTATATATATATATATATATAAAGTAAATTCTTTTAATTTTTAGATAACCATTTAGTTATATTTTACAAACTTTTCACAAAAGGAAAACTAATTTCAAATTTGCAAAGACGCTTCTAAAGTTTAATGCGGATCTCTTATATGTTCCGTAAAACTCTATTATAATTAAGTAAAGTACCGTGGAGAAATTTCCTGATGTTCATATTGCGTCCTCTTGCTCGGCATACTTGCAGAACATATTTCTCGCGTTAGAAGATACGGGCGAAGGACAGTCACGCTTAAACCGACCAAATCGCTTGTCGTCACCGTGTTATCATCGTCGTTATCCATCGCGCAAATATTTAAGCATGCGTTCGTATATCCTGGAGATTACATGGGAAGCTCGGTTCGTTTCGTCCGACTTCATCAACATACTGATCAAACTCGATCTGTCTCGCTACGCGTACAAACTTAATACGAAACCATCGTCGTACCGTCTTATCGTCTTTTATAATTTGTCGCGTGCAATGAAATTGAATGAACCAGCAAACAATATACAATTGAATCTTTTAAAGTGGTAATAAATAACATCGCATAATATTATTAATCGTCATATATTGAGCTATTCACAGATGTTTATTTTTAATTATTTAAAGGAGGCGTTAATAATATTGTACAAAATAATTGAACAACAATATTAAGGATTTAAAAGCTGCTTAAAGGATTATTCAAGTTTTACATATATCATGTATAAAATACGTTTTGTAAAAAAAAATTTCAACTCTCATCTTATAACTTATCCCTATATGCTTTACGAGGTAATCTATTTCTTGTCATATTTGCTTAAAATTTCAGATAATTTATATAACTATTTATTGTGAAACATATAATATTAGAACAAAAGTTCATAGTGTTACGAATTACAAAATTCAAACAGTTATAACTTCGTTAAAAATAAATTTTAATTTAAAAAAAAAATGTTTTTAAGCTTAAATCTATAAAGGAATATAAAGTCACTGACAGCCGGTGTGTGTGTGTGTGTGTTTTTACGCTCTCAAAACTTTGTTATAATTATATCGCGTTATAACGGATCATTATGCTGAGTGAAATTTAAATGACTGAATTCTTGTTTAAGTATCCAACTAAGTACAACAAATGATGAAATTCTTAATTTTAGACAACAGCCTAGCGATGATTCATTGACAGCCTTTACCTTATTGTGTTACAACGCATCAAATTTGATTCTGATAAATAATCGTTATACTGAAGATGACCTAGTCGAAACGTTTGTGATGTACATTATTATTGACTATACACATACAATTATATTGACTTTCAGTGGTTTTATATTCCTTTACAGATTTAAGCTTTGGAACATTGTTTAATTTTAATTTTAATTTAAAGCTTAAAATATCTACTTTCGAAAAGTCTGTATCTTTTGAATTTTTATAAGTTTAATATTATTTCAATATATATAGAAAACTAAGCTGGATGAAATAAGAAATTTTCATCTCATTTTGTGGACCTGTTGCGTACAAAAAAGAATTTGTGAAAATTTTTTACTTCCTGACACGAAAGCTTAAAAGTTTCTCGACAAAATCATGTTTTTGTTTTAAATAATCCTAATATTTGTTGTGACTGAGTTATCGCGAATTAAATAAAGGAACATTTTGACTTGGATTGCTCATAACTCCGTTAAAAATCATCGTACAATTCAAAAAAACTTAAAGCTGAAATTTTTCTTTATCAAATAGTATAAGAGCCATTTTTTTTTAAACATGACATGATACAAATGAAGTAGCGCTACGAACTTTCGTTCCGATCGTAATTTATGTAGATATAGATGTTGATTTACGAGAGCTGAAATACAGATGAAAGTGTCTATGGACACCAGAGACGTACGCGCAGTACTGGCTATATTGGCGCAAGTCTGCAAGCACGATTGAAAGTCGAGAGAGCTCTCAAATAGCCCGATTCGCTCCGCCCAATCTCTATCTTCACCATCTCTATTCGCGTTTCGAACGCGTTTGGCGAACTTGGGACCGCTTCCGAGAGCTTCCGTTGCGGATATCCAGTTTGATAGTTTAAACCGGATGCGGATATTCGACGCCTGCTCTCCTTCCTTTCCCTTTCTATCTCTCTCACCGACGAACGGAGAATAGAAACGGCGAAAGGGTTGTAGTTTCGGAGTGCGCGGGATGGCGGTGGCACTCAGGCGGCTTATAGCAGCGCGAGACGCTCATCTGCATTTCAAATCGCACGCCCGCACGAAGATTTGTACGCGCGCACACCTTTCTGCGAACGTGGATTCAAACGTGTACAGCATCGTCCACTCGCACGATTGCGCAATGTTAAAACTAATCGATAAAGTGCAAGAGATACATGTTTATGATTCAAAGTTACCAATCTACAGTTCAATCGATAGTTTGTACGCGGTTCAATAATATTTATTTACTGAGAAAAAAATTTTAATATCTGTGACTATGATTATGATTATTTGTTACCATAATTATGATTATTACTACTATAATGTTAATATCATAATTTCTTACGTATATGTGTAATTCTGTTAATAAATACACAGGATATCGGCAGTTGGCAATGAATATGATTACAGTTATTATTACTATAATATAATAATATCAAAAATAGTCTGATATAACTATAATACATATAATCTTATAGCATATACATATTGTATATAGTACTATAACAGTAATAATCATGATTGCAGTAAAATGTAATTATAGTTATAATACCAAAAATTTTTCTCTCAGTGCACAGTGGACCGATTACATTATATTATGAAAAACTAGTATTTTATAATATAATTCATTTTCATATTCGAATGAATAAATAAAGAATATATATATTATTTAAAAACGCAAGATAAAAATAAAGAATATATATATTGTTTAATATATTATTAAATAAAGAATATATATATTATTTAAAAACGCAAGATAAGATCGTTACTGCACTGTCTAAATTAAATTTTTAGTATAGTATTTTACAACGTTACAGCTATATATTATGCAAATGCACTTGCAACGTGTATTCTCACTTGACGGACGCACGCGTGTTGCATGTACGCTTGTATATATCAAAGATGCGTCGCTCCATGATTGTTTTCGCCCCCACACGCACGCCGAGGGATAGCGTGCACATAAGACGGAAATTCCGTTGGATAGCTGCAGGGGCCCACGTTCTTCCCCTTTCGTAACAGAATTGAGCGGCCGCGGATTTACGGTAAGCGCCGCGCAAACGAAACGAGCGGAAGTCGACCGTGCTTCCGGATCAGACGGCTAGGCGAAAGTCTGCTGCGGGCTCTTCTGTCCCGATTAAACTACGCGGAAATCCTATCGAGGTGCAGACGCCATTAGCATGCGATGTGTACACGCTATGTCTGTGTACTTGATTGATTAATTCAAACGAAAGGGACTTGTTCTATATGACCGCAAAAAATAGACTTTTAAATTCGACTTGTCGGGCGATCTTTATAGTTAACTGATTTTGTTTTACATTCCTTAGATCAATTTTTCTAAAATAATATATCTATAAATAACATTGTATCATTTTCTAAAGAATTTTCTTTGCAATTTATATGCAATTTTAAGAAATCATATAATATTATTTTACTTTATGTAGAATTTTGTATAATTTTAAGGACATCTCAATCTTTTTTCATTGAATTTTTAGAATTTTATTTAAAAAATGCAATTATGTACAAAATATGTACATATACACATACACATATACATAAGGTTAAATGTCCAAGTGGAAATGTCTATATGGATTTTGCCGTTGCTGTGATGGAAGCGATCGGCTGAAGAAATTCATGGTCGGTATTTTCCGAAGTAGCGACTGAAACTTCGTCGTCTGCGCCCGAGGCTGCGATATCGATAAGGGCTTACCTTGCCGACCCCGGTGAGCTCCTTTACGCCTATCCTCCTGAGAAGGGCGGGAGGTGCCGGAGGTGGTGACTTGAGAAGGAGCGCAGCATATCCATTGGGAAAGATAGGCAACTCGTCAGATCCGATGTTTTCATCGCCGGAACGTCGTCTACGATGCGGACTCGACGACAAATTCAGTTTTTGAGCTGCCCTGCGACACAAAAATGTTTATAATTTAATATTGCTATTGTGCGTTGTACAATATATTATACATTTTAAACACAAAAATAGTTTCCGAAAGAAATTTAATTAAATAATTATTCGTTCATTAGTTCTCTTATTCTGCTGTCACCTTGTCGGAAATAAAAATATTAAATATTAAATATAATATTCCCATTTCAAGTTTGTAATCATCAACTTCGCGCGCTTACGATGTAAGAATGTTATCAGTCGAGCATCCAAGTTTACTCTCATTTCTACTTTCTCGAGCCTGGCCCGAGAGACAGATACCTGCGGAAGAGTCGCTGTATCCCGGAAGGTATGTGTCTCGAGGGTGACTGGGTGACATACTCCGCGGGGCGGGCTTGGTAATCAGCGGAGGTAATGTGCCGGAACCCTCCCGCGTCATGCGGGGTACATCGAGGTGGCCGCGTTTAAAGGGGTGCACCAGGAACGAGAGCGCTCGCCGATGCTCGACGTCGGCGTCAGTTTTGGCGGCGGGTAGGGAAGTTACGCAGAGTGGTTGCCCTAACTTCTCTCCACCCCTCGTGGGCCTCGTTAACCCACGCTCTGTGAAATTGGAAATACCAGCGACCTCTCGCGCACTCGTTCGCCCCTGAGGTCGGACCCTCACCTTCCCACCCCTCCTTCGCATTCCCATGCTCTGCGGTAGGCGCCTCCAGCGGGCTGTGGAGCGTCATAAAAAATGGAAAGTATGGGGGATGCGACTAGGCGTCGCGTCGGACGGGACGGGCGATTATCGCCGCGAGATGCAGTTGCAGATGCAGTTTGCGCCGCGTCGCGTTCGTCCGTCACGTGAAAATCACGTGAAT